TCTTATTTTGAGCCTAAATTGAAACTTTTTCGCAGATGTCCAAAAGATTTTCTGATGATGTGTGTACTACAAAAATATACTTTAGTGCAAATAGAATTTGTTTATTGAGAGCTTTCAGAAGAATTTGCTGAACTTCTATTCAAAATTATAATGTGTTAGCGGTGGGTGTTAAATGTTAATTTATCTTATACAATTATTATTACAAAAAATTATTTATTATTAAAAAAAATAATTATTACAAAAATTAATATAAAAAAATACTGTTTAAAATTGTTTGTTACCCTGTAGACCTAAAACATTCAAGCATCAAGCATTTTTGCAGATACGAGTGTAAAACTAAATTTCATATGTGGTAATATGTATTACTTCTAATAGTTTCATGAAAAATTAGTGCCAAGTATTATATTTTAATAATTTGATTAATTTAATAAATAATTAAGTTTATCAAATTTGTAATGTATGATTTATTTCTGAAATAATAAACCATAAAAATTTAGTATTATACAAACTTCCTTTTTAGTTAAAAAAGTCCGGACTCTATTGTTTTTGAATTTGTAAGTGTAAATTTTTGGACGTTATGTATGACGCATATAAGTTCCCGGATATATTGCATTACCTATTAATAGATATATAATTTATTGCTGTTACATATGAAGAACTATATAATTATGTACTATATGTCTATATAATATAAAAAATAACACAATTTAATACAAACTGTGCTCTATAAAATTGTCAAAATTCTTCATTTGATTGATCAGAATCAGTTTGTGTGTGCCTTATTATTATATTATGCGACTGTATTTTTAATATGCAAAATACAAATAAAAAAAATACACCCATTCATTATCTTGACAAAATCACGCATTAAACTTTTTAAATTGAGACTATATTTTTTATTCTTAAAGATAAACGATGCTGATTAATAAGCATACGAATAAATAATTTTTAAGGGATATTTAAAAACGCGATACTAAAAATGATAAAAATAATTATTCAATGGAAACTTCAATTCCCAGCTCTATAATTCTATTTTACTCTATAGTTTATTGAAGTCCTATAATATTAATTTCACATAAGTCTATTTGGTACGTTTCTTGCATATTACAATAATAATTTTGTTTCAAAGAAAATTCTATTCCCATATTGCATACTTCTATTTTACAATCAATTTTATATCACCTGAAAGTGAAAATAAGGTTTAATAAATATACCAATCAAAAATATGCAAATCTCTATGGTAGAGTTTAAATATATATTTGAACTTTTTTGAAATGCAATAAAACTTATAACAGTCTTTGAGCTGTGATGTTGTGGTAAACCTTCTCCTAATAATCTTTCAAGTAATTTTTAAAATTTGATAATGTCTATTAAATTTGATGCAACATTTTTTTTCACTATTTCAATTTCACTACTGCTTGATATCAGACAGACCAAGGTGGGTAACGAACTTGAACCCTGTGCTTGCAAGGTCAAAGCTCTTATCAATAGAACATAAAACGTGAAACTGTATAAAATAGAGAATTATCATATAAAAAATAGAACAATGTTTGTGGCTAATGCAATAAAAACAATGAAAAATCTATAAGTACTTTTATATTGCATAATATTTTTATTATAATTATTTTAATATAGAAACAATAGAGACCAAAACATTTAGTGAGAATGATTTAAAACTATCTTCTATAAAACTAGTATGGTTTAATTGATTACTTGTAGTAGGTAATCAATTGCTATTCATTAAAACTCATTTAATTATTGTTAACTAACCACACGATATGCAAGTTGTATTTTAAATTTTTATGGGCAATGTTTTTCTATACGTCGTCGGTCTTTTTCATAGATAAATACGTGACAATCTATCGGTCATTATTTCGTGACAATTGAACGATTTTGTTGCTATCAAAAAACTTTCAGGTAGGTTTATATAAGAATTGAAACTAATATTGTATTATTTAAAAATGGGCTCGCTTGGGTTTATATAAGAATTGAAACTAATATTGTATTATTTATTAAAAATGGGACTTGTTTCAGAGGTCCCGGGTTCGATACCCACTTCAAACAGCCTGTTGTCAGGCAGCAGTGACAACGATTTGCACTTGGAAATATAGATAGCAATATGTTTCCAAGCGAAAATAGCCCTCACACGACAATGCTGCGCCAATAAAAATACTAGCCCTATTACAGAATTTGTAATAATAATATTTCATACAGAGATGTGACAACTGATTGAGTTGCCATCTGTCAAACAGACTAGTATTAAGTCAAAATCAGCACAACAGCTTATAGGACTATTAAGTTCTGATTGCTGTTCAAAAAATATAACAGAAAAAAATCATTAAAAATATGAATATAAAGATAGTAAGCCGTTGAAATATATTTCTGTTAGAAATTATTATTGAAATATTATTCATCGCTTCAATATCGATAAGAACTACTTAGCCTTATATGTCCTATAAGCTGCTTTTGAAGACTTAACCTCATATTTTATGAGAAACAACATATCGGTTTATTATTCTCCTATATGTGGCCTTTTTTATATTAGCTCTTAAGTCTAATAGTTATCATATGACTGAATGTTGCAGCTATGCCCACAAAGTGCGATTTTCACTTGAAATCATATAGAGATATATGATCTCAAGTGGAAATTCGACATCAAAGCTTCCGGATTTCGGGCTTTGGCCGAGGCGGGAATCGAACCACCGATCCCGGGACTAGTTGGTGCTAGCCACCTCCGACTCGATAATTTACGTATGAAGGTGCGTATAAATATATTTACACCTACACTTACTCTAGTTCTTAAATTGTTTAACAACTAAATAACAAACTTGCAATAACGTATAACTTACAAAAAAATACATAGGATAGAGCGAGCGAGGCTTAAAGTTTTGCGAGTGCAATAGTTCATCACCGATATCTCAAAAACAAGTTAGGATTTTTTTAAAAACAATATTTGAATGTAGAGCGAAGAAGTTGTATAATCAGCCGTCACCTTGATTCTTCCGACGTTGCTATCGAGAGACAAAGGGAATAGTTTGAAAATCTATAACAAAAGTGTTTTCTTTGGTTTTTAGTTTTTTTGGTCGTGAGCAGTGTTGCTTAGTTCACAAGACCTTGATATAATTTTCAAGTGTACGATATTTAATTGTTTTCTAAAAAGTATTATTAATTTTAAAGTAGATTCTAGATTTGTTTATATAACCTCTATAAATGCTTACACGTGAGTGGGGTAAAAAGGACCAACTAAATTTTTACCCTGTCAAAGGCGTAATCAATATAAAAAGCAATTTTACAAGAAATAAATTAAATTATTTCAGTTATTAGTTATTTCAACTCTGCTGATAAATATTTCTGACAAAATACCAGATCAAAATTAAAGACAGTGTTATCTCTGTAAAACATGTATCCAAATTTGCAAATTTATATTTTGCAATGGTTGAATGATGTAGCAATTATTTCATAAAATCCCTCTAAAATTAAAAATAAGGCATTGGACCTGTTTGCCCCTTACCCATTCTATTTTACCCCGTCTCTGGAGTAAAAAAGGTTCAGGTGACAAGTTTTTGAAAAATAGCAAAAAATACATTTCTGTAATGATGAATTAGCTGAGAGTTTTACTGAACATAGTCAGATAGTTGTTTGTTTCATATGAAATTTGTTGTGATATAATTAGACAAATTGGACCTTTGTGCCCCGTTCTACCCTACGTAAATTATCTAAATAAAGTTCTGAGAGGTTAGTCTGTAATAAACCTTTTCAATTTTAATAAATTAAATTGCTGCGTTAATTTAACTGGACCAGGTTATCAAAAATGTTTGGTCCGCAAAAATGTGTGACAAATATTATGATGTAGTTACTTAATGCCAGAAACAATAATAATTAGCAGTGATTTTTTAAGTAATTTAAAGTGGTGGATATTAGAGTTGCGTACATGATATAAAATTCATTTGCTTATGTAAAATTGTTGTTGTTCTGGGCTGTAAGAAATAATAATAACGATACCGGTCTACTAATAACGTTTAGAAAAAAACAGTCTAATCGACAATTAAAGTAGCGATTGAAAGTGAATAGATAATAATAATAACGAATAATTTTTGTATTTTGGACAGCAACCAGAACTTAAGGGTCCCATAAGCTGTTTGGCTAATTTGACTTCGACAACGGTTTTACAAATGGAAAACCAATCAGTCGTCTCATCTGTGTGATAAATTTTATTATTACAATTTTTATAATAGGACGAATATTTTATTAATGCATCAATGCCAGATGAGGGCTATTTTTACTTGGAAACATATTATTATCTATATTTCCAAGTGAAAACGGATGTCACTGTTGCTTGACATCAGACACATGGAAACAGGATCGAACCCTGGACCTCTCATTCAGGTCCAGCCGCTCCAGCCACCGCTAACCCACGAGTTAACCCAATAATAAAGATTCGCATGTGCGTTTTACGTTAAGAATTTAATTTACTATTTAATTTATTATTATTATATTTTACAAATAACAAACGATATTCTATTGGAAATAAATTTCTAAAAAATATCCTTTGATTATCATTCATCAACAAGAATATATTTTTTTGAAAAAGCCAAATTAACGTTATTTAAAGTGGATGCAGTTATTCCTGAGAAAATATATAAAAACATCATTATGTATTTATCTAAAATGCATATCTGTAACAAATCTTCTTGAACAAAAATAAATTATAATCAAAATGAAAGAAATAGCAATCGACGAAAGAAAGTTTATCTACCCAGTCCATCTTTATGTTTATTCTAACTTTATATATATATGAATTATAACAATTACTAAATGGTTTTGTTATTTAAATTAAAAAACTAACTGTAAATTAATCTCAAAAATAAAATAAAATAATAACAATAATGATGTGTTTTACATATGTTTTTTGGAAACAAATGCTCTCAAACAAACGCTAAATGGACCACCCTGCGTGAGGAAATAATCATAATGAATACAAATCATAACATAAATCTCACCTGTATTTTCTTCTACTAAAGTAACAGTGGATGTCAATGAGTTCAATTTTTCACCACCCTACAAAAGTCTATATTTTTCGTTTGGTCAAAATACTACTAAGTATCTTTTATTTTACTACTATCACTGTACAATCGTGAAAAGCGTCAAAACGTTAGATTGGTTGAAACCATGTGGTAATACATTGACAATCGATGCGAAACTGATCTCAAGTCATCGGCGACTCCGTTTTAAAATCTTATCGTATCATTTTAAACTCGAATCGCCTGCGGGAAGACGTCACTAATTCGTACGTAAAAACCAGAGACGAATGCGCTGAATATTAGCAAGTTTCGCATCAACATTTGTACAAAAATTTACCTAGAGAACAAACAATACATGACTAGCACCTATTGTACTGTATCATAGATATTTGAACTTGAATACCTCGAAATGAGGAATATTACGAAGAGATGTCAATAGCAATCGGATATGATTATTGACCATATTTAATTACCTAAGTCGTTGAATCATATTGTATTTACCTACCGATTACTTTTTCAATTGAATGCTTTCATTGAATATAATTAAAAGGAAGAATTTATTTTGATTACTAAACCGGTTTCATTCGACGGGAAGAACCCGCCTTGGTGTAAAGCCAAAACTTAGATGTTGGACCTGCCTTCCCAAAAATTTAATCAGTTCTTCATCTTGTCAATACAAGTAAAATGTTTTTTGAATTATTGAAATCGGACACTCCGTTCTCTTAAAAACTGTGTTATCATTTTTGGCACTTTTTGCCCCGTATCTTCGGAACGGCTAGACCTGCCTTCGCCAAAAAGTAATCAGCATGTCTCCTTATCAATACGAATCGAACGTTTTTTTAAATTATTCAAATCGGTTATTCCATACTGTCGAAAATGTCGAGAACATTTGTTTGAACCGTATAAATAAACTTCAAAATTAAAAATCTTAGCACGGAACCCAATAAAATTGACATGAAATGTGTAAACATTATTGATATCTCTATAAAATATCTGATAATTTGATGTGCCGCCAAAAGGCATTTTTTTACTTTCTGTAGGGCAATTTATAGTAATCGCAAAAAAATTGAATATCGTGAATGTTATGTTCTATTAGATGCGAATCTTTAACCTAATGATATTAAGCCGAGGTGGCTATTAAACCAGGAACCAGGGGTTGTTAGACTAAGTTATAATAAACATTAAAAATGATTGAAATAGAATGAAGTAAAATGATAGTTGACATATAATCTAGAGTTGAAATGTTCTTATTACTATTTATAATCTGGATTTAAATTTTTACTTCATATTATCATTTAGATCTGCTTGATATCAAGGTGGTCGAGGTGAGAATTAAAGCAGAAACAAGTAGATACTAGAGGTTATGATATAATGTTGAAAAATATCTGTAGAATAAAAGAGCAACGAAAAAAGTAGATTGCTATCATTATTATTTATGGATCATCATCAATCCCAGATTTTCACTGAAAGGATAAAATGTTACAAAAATATTTGAATTTTGAATTCATCTAAAAATCTATAAGAAGTTTATATAAGATTAAAGTAAATAATATTTAATTTAAATTAAATTATAGTAAAATCCCATAAGCCTATTACCAATGGAAAATGCCTTTTATGTAATTAATAGACTCTGCCCAAAAATTAAATAATAAAAAGTATAATATATAATAAAGAATTGAAAATCTAGCATTGAAAAACTATCCATATCAAAATAGCTATATTCAAATAATATAATTCAAATCTGGCCTAGTGCTCAAGTGTCACAGTATAGTAATTTATAGCATATAGTTGATAGCCTCATATTATATTTATCACCGATGGAAACAAATAGTGTTGAATTTCATCAATAAAAACTAATTAGCTAAACTAAAAAATCTAAATACTATTATATATGGTTGAATTATTAAATTGTCATTTAATATTTCTTATTAACTCACTAATAAGTTAAAAAATTCGTTACAGAATAAAAATGCATTGCAAATGAAATGTATCTTCTGGTAATTTGCAAATGAAATGTATCTTCTGGTAATTTAACCATGTATACTTAACCATGAAATAAATTAAATAAATCAATAAGAAATTATGATGTATGTATTCGAATAAAATATGTATATTATATTGGCACTAGTTTACAGGTGAAAAAATTCAAAGTACATTGATTATTGTATTAGCACTATTATTGTAATACCACATTGTTTCCTGGAAAAAGTTTATTAAGTAACTGTATAGAAAAAAGGGACAACGAAAAAATGGCAAAAATTAAGTATTATCATTTTCCTTTAATTTTAACTAATAAATCAGTTTTTTATAAAAAATTTATTAATTAGATTATTTTAATGATATGTGTTTAAAAGTTTTTAAACCAATAATGATCTTTATTTGAAACGTAAAGTAACAAAAAACAGTTTAAGATTGCATTTTTTTATAAACAAAATTAATAAAATAATGGAGAGCTTTACATAACTCAAATTCGAATATATATTTATCTATGGAAATAGGAAATTGCTGATTTCGTTCCTTTTTAGTAACATATTGCAATGCTTCATAATCATAAGAGTAGACTATATTAATCTTAAACTGACAAAGCCTGATTTTTAGTGTGTTAATTTATATTGCCACAAAATTAATTGGCAATAAAAGTACAAGATAAGGTACACGTTTTAGAACCTAATTACATATATTTTTCTATGGGGGTAATTGGATTTACTTAATATTTTCTTTTGAATTGAAATCTTTTTGTTTGCCACTCAAACATTTGCACATGCGTTAAATAAGGTCATTTAAAATCAACTGTTACATTTTTTATCTCTGCATGTCGCATCACATGATTTTAATATATGTTTATTCACGAAACAGAATATTCTATCATTCTTAAGTGATAGAATCGATAACTAATATTAATAAATTGGCAGTTTCAATTGATACTATTACAAAATAAAACGCACGTGCAGAGAAGAAACTAAAAACTGCTTTGCTAAATTTTTTACTGCTTTCTACGTTTTGTAAGACTCTATTTAATAGTTATAAGATCCAGCTTAATTCATTATCTTCTCTAAATAAACAATATGATAAAATTACAAATACCACATTGTATTTTTAATATAAAACATGAAATATTCAATTTTAATAATTTATGCAAGTGAAAAGACAATATTTATTTCACAAAGAACCAAAGCCTGCACGATTCAGAGATCAAAAAAATGTTCACATATTTTTGTTTTATATACAAAACCCATAATAAGTTACTAAATAAATACGTAATATGATAATGATTTTTGCAGTTATCGATTTAAATTTGTTATTAATTTAAAAAAAATTGAATTGTTATTAATTTGTAATTTATAATATAGTTTCTCTCTGCACCTTTCCCGCAAATATCAAATTATTCAAAATTATGATGTCAAATACAGCTGATATAAAGATACAATAATTACTTCTATTTATTTTCTAATTGCATATTGTTCAGTAAGCGAAATATGCGTTCTGATAAACTGCTCTAATTGCACACTATGTAAAACAGATTTCGAAAAACAACTTTATAAGGAAACAATTATGTTAATTATTTGGGTAATATAAGGCCCAGCTGCTTATCACCTGTTTATCAGCCATTTTGCAAACAGACCCATAAATTAAATACGATTATGAGCCTTTTAAACAATCTATTTAGCTCTAAATGCATTTTAGAAACATAATATCATAAATTATACATGAATGTTATATGCGCTAAATGCGATAATTTTGCTTTTTATCTAATTGAAAACAAATTTAAAGTGAATTATAAGTTTGTTACGATATTGGTTATATTAATGTTTTTACTAATAATAAGTTTGATAAGTATTGAATTTATTTGTTTGCCTATATTTTTTGTATGTAAGAAATTTTATTTAAAACAATATTTTCTATAATATTAATAAAGTGTCAAATAATTATTCAAAAATAATAATTTAATGGTTTTTAAAATTTTTAAAAATGTTTCAAAAATTTTTAAAAATAAATAAATGTGATTAAGGAGTTGGAGAACCCTTTCGTAATAGAAAATGCAATGCTAAAATATAATAAATGGTAGTCATTGCACCCCTAATATTTCAACCCCTATCTCGTAACAATATTCGATTTTTTTCATTTGATCTTTATTCAGACAAGTCTAAAAAATGCCTCTATGATAACGATAAAATTTAGTAAATGATTTAAAATTATGTCCTCTCAAAATTCAAAATTAACTAAAATGTAAAAAGCATTTTTAAAATCTTCAAACAGCATTCAAATAAAGTATAGAAAGCATTTTAAATTATTAACTTCCCGTAGGGCAACTTATAGTAATCGCAAAAAAATCGAAAATGAAAATTTTTACATAACTTTACGTTTCAAAGGTTTCTGAATATTTTAGCATACCTTAGAAAAAATGAATGTATGTGTGTGTATATGTGTGTGTGTGTGCGGATACAAATTTTTGTCGACGAAAAAGTGCCAAATACGGTAACTCAGTTTTTAAGAGAACGGAGCGTCCGATTTGAATAATTCAAAAAACATTTTACTTGTGTTGGCAAGTTGAATAACTGATTGAATTTTGGGTAAGGCAGGTCTAGCGGTTATGGACTCTCAATATAAATAAGTTAAAAAAATGCCATTTGGCGGTCAAAAATGTTTATTGGACATATGTACATCATATTATCAGATATTTTATAGAGATTTTAATAATATGTACCCATTTCGTGTAAACTTTTTTGGGTTCCGTACCAAGATTTTTAGTTTTAAAATTCACGTATATGGTTCAAACAAATGTCCTCGACATTTTCGACAGTATGGAACAACCGATTTGTATGATTAAAAAATCATTCGGTTCGTACTCGATCGCGAAACGTTTTTGCAAAATGCAATTTTGCCGTTTCGGAGGTATGGAGCGTAAAGTGTGTAAAAACGGTTATGCAGTTTTTGAGAGAGCGGATTATCCGATTAGATTAATTCAAAAAACATTTTGCTTAAGTAGATGGCGTGCTAAAAATGCATATACAGAAAATTTGGTAATTATAATAATCTAAAAAAAAATCAAAATTTTCAAAAAAAATCAAAATCGAAAAGTTCAAATTTTCTAAAATTTCTATCATTTTCAAAAAAAAACTAAAATTTGGAAGAATTAAAAAAAAATTA